CATTGGCCTCTGCTGGTTAGCACTAATAGAGCGTGGCGCGCTCTGCAGTTGGTCTGAGTGAGGGTGGGGTGCTGGCTTGTCCACAGCTACACTGTGGTTGGCGTTTGACCTCAGCACAGCCATACACCTACTGCAAAGGGCACGGGAGGGCTCCCTGCCTCCTGGCCTTGATTGCCAACGGCAGAAGTTACCTGGAGACAGAAATAAGGCATCTCTGCAAAAGGCAGCTGAAGCAAAGTAGGAAGAGGCAGGTGAAGGCCTGAAGTGAAAGACGTTACAGTGTGCTCACTTTCTCCCTGAAAATACCAATCTGCTTATTCAATCCCAATTAACATGCCGTGCTAGTGAAAAACACGTACATAGATAAATGGTTTGGATGATTTTTTCCTTAATTACAAGAATGATTTCAAAATGCAATTAAGCTATAACCTGCTGCTGAAGGAGCACCAGGGTCTCTGTGACACGCAGAGGAACAAGTCACGCTCCAAACAATGCTTGAGAAATTTAGCAAATACATTCAGAAGAATTAAGATAGATATTTAAGGGTTTTTATTATTATTATTAATTCAGTAGAATTAATGTCAAATCAAATTGCATGAAACTTTTTTTTAAATGTAGAGCTAGTAAGCTGTAATGTAATAACAGTCTCAGTCTGCAGGAAATGGCTGACTGGTTCTTTTATGACTGCAAGCATTTATATGGACAGATTGCTGCCCCCATTTCAGGTCTGCTGCATCCACATGTTCTTGTTCCAGTGAGGCTTCAGTCAGAACATTAACCTTTCAAAAGTCTTTTTTTTTTTTTTTTTTTGCCTTTAGCTTGAAAGCTGAATTTTGTGCTAATAACCAAATACATTGTTGAGAGTAGGTTTTTTTGTGCCAGCTCAGATCTAAAATATCAGTGCCTCTGAGAACATTACAAGGTGTAATTCGTGCCTTATGTAACGTGTTTTCTTCTGGTTGTTTTTCTCTCTGTGTAGTGCTTCATTCCACGATGTTGAGAGGAGCTGCTCGTAGTGCAAAAGATGCATTTACACGGCTATTGGCAGGATCTCAGTACTGTAACCCTGGATTGAGTTTTTCATCATTATGGACTGAAGTAACAAGCAGAAGCTTTCTACCTCATTCCCATTATACAACTGATATAAGATCAAGAGAGGAAAATAAAAAAATAATTGAGAGTCTCTACAGATTGTCAGTTGATATTAAGAAAATACGCAGACTAAAGGAATGGGTCCTTTTCCAGGATGCGGCCTATGTTAAAGAAATTGCTAGTATCTTACAAGAAATGGGAGCAGATGAGACCACCATAGCCAGTATTTTAGAACGCTGGCCAGAGGCAATTCTCTGTAGCCCTGCAGAGATAAACTCTCAAAGAGCTCTATGGCAATTAGTATGCCAGAGTGAAAAACAGCTGATTAAATTAATAGAGCAATTTCCAGAGTCTTTTTTTACTACTGAATACCATGAGAATCAGAAAGCAAATATTTTGTTTTTTCAAGAGTTGGGACTTAAGAATAATATAATCACTAGGTTCTTGACAAGCGCACCCAATATTTTTTACAATCCTGTCGAGAAAAACAAACACACAATAGAGACATTACAGAGAAATTACTTGAGTTTAGGAGGTTCTGATGCAAATATGAAGATCTGGATACTGAAGTTATTGAGCCAAAATCCATTTATTTTATTAAATACTTCCACTGCAATCGAGGAGAACTTGGAGTTTCTCCAGAAGAATGATTTCACTAACCATGAAGTTCTACAGCTGCTGTCCAAACTTAAAGGTTTTATTTTTCAACTTACTCCTACTACTATGCAGAAGAGTCTACTTTTTTCCAAAAACGTCTTTAAGTGCAGCGATCAAGAATTAAAACAGCTAGTGCTGAAATGCCCAGCCCTTCTCTACTATTCTGTTCCAACTTTGGAAGAAAGACTTGAAGGACTACTGAAGGAAGGAATTTCTATAGAGCAGATTAGAGAGACCCCAATGGTGCTGGAGTTGACAACACAGATTGTTCAGTACAGAATTAAAAAACTCTCTGCTTTAGGGTATAACATAAAGAATGGAACTCTGGAAACTTTGAATGGTACTAAGAAAGATTTTGAAGTTAGTTATGGTAAGATACAATCAAAGAAGGAGAGACCAATGTTTAATCCTGTTGCTCCTATAAACGTTGAAGATTGATTTGAATGCTCTACTTTAAATTATGCCCCATCCCCCTCCCCCCCAAAAAAAAAACAAATCAAAACAGATCTCGATTCTTTGATAAGAACTGAAACAAAAGTTACCTTAACCAGATTGTATTCTTAGGCTACACTTCATCCTGGAATGGGGCTTTATGCATAACTTGGTTATAAAACTATAGCTTTCCAAAGCTTTCAAATACTGTCATAGAACCTGACTATGATGAAAACTGACTCGCTACCATTTACTTAAAAGACTTGTTCCCCCTGCCCCCGGGTAACCTCACACATGAGTTTTTTGGTTCTGTTGCATTTCCTTATCTAACTGGCTACTAGCTTTTCTGGATTTTCAGCTCTATCATTGCACAGTCCCATCTAGAGAAGGAGGGGTATTTCTCCAGTAGCATTCATCCACCCACTGATAACACTGAGTTTTAAAAACTCTCTCAGGGTTCTCTTTCTTATCCCAGATCCTGAACTGAAGCTGGCTTGACTTCCTGAATGGGAGGACTACCTAGAACACAGTTTGAGAACAGGGGCAGGACACTATTTTTACGTAGTGACCACTACAGTGAGGCCCTATTCTTTTTACCTGCAAACTGTAATGCAAATAAACTACAAAGATACTCTCCTTTAAATTTTTTAGACTTCAGAATGGACTCCTTTTTTAAAAGGTTTGGGGGAGGAGGAAATACATGTATTGCAAATGTCTAGTTTAATTCTTTTCTAGCCAGGCTTAGGGAGAGAAAAGGCTAAGAGGGAACTCAAATGAGGCAAAAGCACAGTGATTGTAGGAGAAGTGGGGGAGAGATGTCACACTTTTATAGTAGGTGTAACAAAACTCTAGTCTATGAACCACTGGTGATTAAAAATGATGACCAGCTTTGCAAACAGCTGACACAGTTTCTAAATATATTGGTGTGCTGGCTTCTCAGATATCACTGGTAACTGCTGACAAGCGCTGGCTTTTTAAATAGTAACTATTGGACAGTGTTTAAGTTCTAGGGTTTGGGAATTTTTTTTTTTTTCATTTATGGGCTGTGCATAATGATATAAAATAGTAGCATCATTAAAGATCATCTCATTAGAAGTAGGGTCATCAGTGATTTTACTCCTCAAAAGGAAAACTAATCCTAAGCAACCTATCTATACACATTCCCTTTTGACAGCAGGAGATAAGCCAGTTACACACACCCACACCCTCTGGGCCATTCCTCAAGGTCACTTTTAAACAGACGTTTTGGCAGCAAGTCCAGGGTTGCTTTTCTTAAAGAGAAAAGTTTTAAATTGCTGAGTAAAGTTGGTATGGGATTACTTACTTAGAGGGTGGCCTGCAAGATGATAATTTTATACAGCCTGCCAAAATATCTGCTGTGAGCCTGGAAAAGACTAGAAACATCTGGTTAGAGCAGTACTAGGATCTCAACTGCTAGTCTTAAACCCACCGGCACGCAGGCGAGCATAGCTGTGGCAGCAGCTCGTGGCGGGTAAACGCTGCCCTTGTAGGCTTATGCGCCACAGTGGCGAGAATTCAAGGAGTGACACAAATCACCAGCACTTAGAAAATTAGGCTGTCCAGATTTACTAAGCCATTTCCTCGCTCAACACTTCAACGCACACCACGTTCTTATAAAAGGAAACTGAAGTGGGAATACAACCCTATAAGAAATTCACAAGAACGAGCCTTTGTCACTTTTTGACTATCCCTCAGTGCTCAACTACTAAGTAGATGTCAATACTTGAATTCAAAAACATCCTTCTCTCAAACAAAGGGGGCATTTCAGCTCTCTGCAGATACTCATACTGCAACGCGTAATACTGAGCCCCCGAACAGATCAGTGGTTTAGGATGCAAAGAAAGTAAAGGAAGAATTCAAGGAAAATTTAGTTGCAGCATTTCTACAGGTATCTGGTTTTAACATTCTTTTCTGATGCAACTTATTCCCATTGTTTCTTGCAGTAATTCCAGTCCCAACGGAAAAAACAGGAAAGTGACATATTTCCTTAACTGAGTCACAATCTTGAGTCATCTCAAACACCTCATTATCTCTTCTGAATGTTATGGTTTCTCCCCCTCCCATTTCAAAACAAAAGCATAGACAAGGAGACTCCTTTTATGTACCAGCAAAATTCATTCAATATCCCTATGCAGGGGACCTGTTTCTTTGTTCTTCCCAGGATTCATTTATGAAGAAGCCTCAGATAAGCCCCTGATTACGCTAACATCATATTGCCCAAATCCTCCTCATAATCTCTCGCTGTTACTCATGCTGAATGTGAACAATTTTACAGAGTTTTAAGTTTGTCACATAAAAATCCGTAGACCAGCATTTCTCCCACAGAAGGAGGATTCAGACATACAAATATTACTTGTATACATTTTCCCTTTTGAAATGGGGGCTGTGAAATCTCCAGGTTACAACCCACACTTGGAAGTTTCTCAAGACACTTACTAAAATTGATTTATTGGTTACAAATTCTGCTGAGGCAAAGCAAATTAGTCTTGTACTTAAGGCACTAGCTTCAATCCCTGAAGAGCAAGAAAAACCAACACAATACAACCTCACCTTCCTACAGTCTTAAAAGCAGATTTCCCCAAGCCTCAGTTCCCAGGAAAAAAAAAAAAAAAATCAGGGATTCTGTGGTGTCTATGCACAGCCTAAAAACACAGAGAGGCTACAATTTTTAAGAGCTTGTTGACAATACTTGGATGCAGAGAAAAGACACTTCAGGGCATGAAACGGTATGAAGATTTTACCGTAAGTATTCACTAAACTACCTTTCTCCACAAATTAACAAAGGAAGCTTTCAGAGGTCTGAAATAGCAACAATTTAATGTTTCACAAGTGTCAGGACAGAATCAGAACACAAAAAGTAGTGAGTTTCATATGTGAATGGAAAATATGCAGAATATAGGACAAAGCTCTTCTCTAAAACTAAAACCATATGCCATGTTAAAGCATTTCAGTTACAAGATTCAGAGGTAACAACTACAGGGTACGTTAAGAACAAAACATAATGAAACGTTGGTAGCTTTTTACAGTTCTAACATTATGTATCACAGACCACACTTGTTTTGCTGTAAGCTTCATAGTATAAAAATTAGAGAATGTCATAAAAAAGAGGTTTGATCCGTTCAACAGTTAAGTTTTCAAAAAGTGATTAGGAAGGGTTTGGCTGAATGTCACAAACATCCCTATGCTCTGAAATAGCTGACTTTGTAGTACAGCCGTTGTGCTCCGTGCATACATCTACATTGAGAACTGCAGGGGAGCAGAGCATACTAAATTATTTGCTGCAGCTAAACTGTTTCTGGTGTCAAAGCAGCTCATTACTATAGCTAACTGATACCTCTAAGCTACACTATATTTTATATTATTAGCCTTTAACAGTAAAAACAGTAAGTCTGCATGTATTGCATAGACTTTTTTACCCCATTATACACTTTCAGCAGAATGGAGCTAAGCATCTGGTGCAACCAACAAAGGAACAGACAATTCCATTTGTTGGTTTTTTTGGTCTTTTCTCCCCACCACCAACTCACCATGCTTAGAAATACTGTGTTAAACATAAACAATTACTAATATCAAATAAAGAAAGTTGTTCCACACTGCAGTTAAAGTACCAATGGCTCAGAAAGACAGAAAGACTAAGTGACTACTGTACCGTAAGTTACACATAGTTTGCTTTCAACATCCAGCCATGAATAGGAGTATTAGACAAGTAATATATTTTGATTTCTTTAATTTCTAAAAAAACAAAAACAAAAAAACCCCAAAACATCCGTATGTATCCTTCTTGTACAACCGTAGCCACTGAAAAAGCAAGCTTACATGCTTAAAAATTTTCTGTAGGAACACAAGTTTTTAGAAAATACTGCATACAACGTTCACATGAATCTTCAGTCATCTTTTACGGGCTTCCAAACAAGTTACTTATTTGCAAAGTCAGCACAAAGATCACAGACAGCTTCTATTTTAAGGCAACTTTGAGCTGTGTCTTACAAGTGTGTTTTGCTCCACTCAGCAGAGGGCCTAGAAATGCTCCCAGATGAGGTATATCAAAGTTTGGAATCTGTCAGTATTACTTGGACGATGTTTCTCATTCTTACTCTCCTTTAAGGCCTTATTTAGATTTAAAAAAAAAAAAAAAGGCAAATGAAAGTGTTGCATTTTGATTTTGAGTAACTGTAAAGTATGAAATATAGACGTAGTGAAAAGTTGGTTGCATTTGTTTAAATGAGAAGCTAGAAACAAGAAGCTTCTAGCCAGAGCAAGAAGCTAACCTGACACATCATGAAGTTAAGACAACAGCTTTGCTAGTTCTTCAGTGGTTTCCAACTACACAAAGGATTTTCTTTCAAGTTACACAGTTGTCATAGTATAGTGCTAGGTGACCACAAACATCAGCCCAGTTTCAATTAAGCCATCATTTTTTGTCTAGTGTCTGTAAGAAGTTTATTAGAAGCAGCAAGTTTTCACTTGCAGGAGATAGATGCATATCGTTAAGTACACCTGAGATTTAGCAATCTTGTTTGCAGAAAAAGCTGATTAAGTTTCAGATATCAGGAGTCATAAAGAGAGTCTAAAGCTTGTTCTGTGAACTGCACTGAAATGATAAGACAGTTCTTTACACAAGCTTCACTTAATAAGAAGATTTTTTTTCCAATAAGGCATTAACAATTAAATTAGTTTACTCTTTATGATCCCTTCTACTGTGTGCTGTCAAACTTTCTCACCTCCTATCTCCCACTCCCGTTTCCAATTTCTGCATCCCTCCAGTTCTGTTTGTTTCCAGTCCACACTGGCAGAAAGCACTCACGGATAGTTTACAGGCTGCCTGCAAATACAGTTTCATAAGTGAAACCACTGAGGCACATCCAACGATGCCATTACACAGCTCAAGGATCCTTAGCAGGAAGATGTGGAAACCACTGAGAACAGTAATCGGCATCTCATATTTACGGTACTGCAGAGATTACCAAATTAAATTTCTATGCTCACATTTTAGTCCAAAACTGCAAGAGACTTACAGTAAGTGAATATTCAAATATGTATTATCCCTTCAGATACACGTACTCGCTTCTATAGTTATCAAGTGTAACATCTCACCAGATATAAAGCTTGAATCTAGCTTCTAATAAATCTTCATACACCGTGCTAGCCAAGCTTTGTCTGTCCTTTTCAGATGAAATTGAGTTACTTGCACAGCTCTTTTGTCTAAGACATATGGCTTCTCGTGGTCCAAATCTTAGCAGATTTTAACGCCACTGATGTAACATTCTGAAGAATCAAGTAGGTCTCAGTTTTGTTTTTAGTCAGACTTATCCTTTTTCTTCCCTGTTAAAGGCACTTTACTTGCAACAGCAGATCCTACAGCTGTAACACCTCCAGCCACAGCAGAAACACCTCCTTTGACTAGCCCCACTCCCACTGAAGGCACAGATGTGACCGCTGTTTTGGTAATTTCCAAGCTCTTCCCTCCAATCCAAGCGACACCCCCAATCGTGGCACCAACAGCTCCTTTTGTTACGCTGAAGAGGCCACCAGTCACCCGAGAAAGCATGCCAGGCTGCTGCTGTGGGTGGTCTTTTAATGAACCTACAGGACGAAACAACATTTGAGTCAGGCAGTGTTACAGTTGAAGCATTTCCAAAAGAAAAGTTACGAATAAGTGCTTCCTTTTGGCCTAACAACCATCACACACAGTATATACTTACCTGGCAGGTTACTTTTCTTGGAAGCCCATACAACACCATGGTTCCAAATAAGGTAAGACACTTTGCTCTATTCTATACTGTTTTCTAAAACACAAATCAAAACGGAGCCTACAACTGTCAAGCATATAGCTTCCAGGCAGTCTTTTTAAACAATACATTCCTGTCCCCTGTCCATTTGCGTCCCCACCTTCCCAGACTCTGGAAAAGCCAAACGTTCATTAAAAATGAGGCGGTCGTCTTTGAAAAGAATTCACTTTGAGACAAAGTACCTCCTTTACTTAGTAATTACTGTTTTGAAGCTGTATTTACAGGGGGCTTATGCCCAGGGGAAAAAATGGTAGAGTAGGAGAGGTACCAGAGGGAGTCAAAAGAAGAGTGGAAAGACAGACAGACAGAAGTCAGGCCAGCTCCTCAGTGTACCACTTCCTGTCTTCATCACGTACCCAACTCTAATTTTCTTCCAAAAAGGCCTTTTCTGTTCTTCAGATGGGGAAGGGGGGAAAAAAAAAAACAAGTCAGTTTGCCAAATAACTTTCATGGAAGCTCATTAAGTAAAAGGAATCCCCAAAAGCATTAAAAATATTAAGCAGTTACAAACTTCCAACAGAAGCACAGAAAAAACTCTAACCAAGGGATTTCTGCATGTTGTTGATAGTATAAATCTCCTTTTTTTCTTCTTAATGTTATGTTTAAACTGCATTTTGCACAGTTTCTGACTACATGCAATATAAGCCAATTTGCTTTCTGTATTTGTCATACAATTACATAGCCTCAAAATAATAGGAAGTATTAGAGTAATAGAAAGACGATCAAAACTAGCTTGCTTGCCTGCAAACTCGGATCCAGACAGCTGCTTAGTCCGGTAATAATTTCATAATTACTTCACATTTCTAAGTGTAAGCTTCAAGAAGATAAGGATATACATGTACTTTCCCTCTAAAGGGAGCTGACACTACAACTTCACGCTCCACTACTACATAAATATCATCTTCTCTTTAAAGAAGATACAGAACTTTTGCTCAGCTCCTGCCTCGTCAATTCCTCACCAGCCCCAAACATGTCTCCTTCCCAAAAAAAGTTTCAGAGAAAAACATGGCAAGAAACAGCCAATTTACAAGAACGTAGGATGAGAGTTCCACAATTTTTTATTTTTTTTTTGGAACTCATAGCTATCTGTGTGTAACACATTTGATTTAATGGATGCTTTTCCCTTCCTTAGGAAAAACAGGAAGACCAAGAAAAGAGCAAGCGAGCCATGGTGGGCAGAGCGAGGGAAAAAGCAAACACAAAATAAAGAGGTGAGGGAATCAAAGGCAGAAAGACCATGCTGGAGAGAGAACAACAACAAAATCTAGAGAGGCAGAAGGGAAAAAGTGGATAGAGATCTATCAGAGACCATCTCCAGCCTCTGTCAGTACACTCACTCTGCATGGCAACGGGCCTTAGGAGACTCAGCAGAACAGGACTGTCGCCAGGGCCCTGCTGCTGACAACTCACCCTGAGAAGACAGTTTTGAACAGTCAGTTCCCAGGATGCGGACATTCATGTACGACAAGATGAAATTAAGGTGAACAACTTCTCATACACATCCAATGGGTTTGCAATAGTGCCAGAACTGGCCCTGGACTAAGTATTCATTACCAAAAAAAAAAAAAAAGGTTCAGAGTTCCTATGCGTGTGCCTGGAATAATTCATACAAAAACATGCCATCTCAAAAGCAAATTTCTCACAGGTTTGGTGAAAAAAATAGGCATAGAGAAAAGAGGAACAGTGCAGGTCAACGGAGCAGAAAATATTACAATACTTCCAGCTTACACTAGTCTCTCTTACTTCAGATAAGAAATGGATTTCTGTAAGAAAAAGTGTTAGATCACAGCCTTTCACCTAAAGTCAAATAATATCCTTGCTAGTTCATTTTAAGTCACTAGTCTTTGACCTGAAGAACTCCAGCAAAGATGCTTTTCCAACTCAGGCATATAGAGATCATAATTTCTATTTATATATAAAAAGCCTTTAAAGAGTTGCATTCTGAAAGAGGTATTTATAGAGCCTGGTGTTTACACACCTACTGTCCTACTGTCTAGAAAGGACTCTCATGACTACAGTCACACATCTTGTAAAAAATTCGTTCAGAAAATGCTTCACTTCTAGCTAATGGGATCAATATGACCAGGCTGAATGGGAAGAAAATTTTACCATACTGAATTTTAACAGCGTACTGCAACAATTCGGGAAGAAAGAAGCCATCACAGAGAGCTTAAAATGAATAAATAAATCACAAGGGGGAGGGAAACAAGTTTTGACAAGCTTTTCCTTGCATTACTTAAGATTGCCAATCCCTTGACAAAGCCTACTGCATTTCACAAGCACGCATACTGACTATGACCTGGTGTATTAATAACTGCATACTTCTAGTGATGGTTGCTACGTTCCCATTTCATTCCCATTTGTGTTGTTCATCAGAACTACTAAATGCCTGCAGCTGCAAAGAGTTTCTACTGCCAGCTGATTTATATTCTAGGATATGCATTACTCGTCTCCTTGTTTCTAATCAGTATGAGAAAGAAGATTAAAAAAGAGTGTTCTTAAATCTAGAGAGAAAATGACAAGTTCCCTGCTGAAACGGTTGGCTCCACCATACCACTTTATAGCCAGCTGCCTGCTGAAAAAAGTCTTACAGCGAACAACAGCGTGAATGAACGTAGGTTGCAAAGGTTGGTGCTACTTGCAAAGTAGAAAATAAAACTTGTATAGTGCTACTCATAGCAAGCAAGAACACAGCATCTTCTTCTCTACATAAAATTCTTTAAAGCCTTTGGGCACCTAACTTGCCAAGCGTCATTTGGACAACTTGGAACCATTTATATCTTTGGAAAAGACAGTGAATTGGTTTTGGATTCGAGTCTTTCTTGTAAGAATTTTTCTTGGCAGCCTGTTCAGAGAGCCAGCCTTCTTGCCAAGGCTGAACTGGTAAGCTTCCACCCTTATTCGGCCTTCCCTTTACAGTAGTAAAAAGGCCTTGTACGACATTTAAAACAGGTACATTCTTCACGGGTATTCCAACATTTAAACTAAACATATAAGGCTCAAAAAGTGCACATGAAACAAGGAAAAGAAAAAAAACCTTTGAGGAAGGCCTTTCCTTTAAGTCAAGTTCCGTTTCACTCCATTCCATCTTCTAACTGCATCAACTCCCTCCACCTATTTAGACTATATACTCAGATTGGTTACTATTCTGTTCAAAGAAGATACCGTGCAGAAGAAACGTAAGTCTCAGTAACTCAAATTTCAAATAAAACTCTGCAGTACCCACAGACAATCATCCTCTGCTGTTAACATCTGGATAACCTATTAAATGCGTTTTAAACAGAAGTTAAAAAATGTCCTTGAAGGAGACAGTGAGATAACTGGGCAAGTCAGATGTAATTTACCAGTCAGAGCACCCTTCAAGCTCTGTACATGGTGTTTATCACGTTTAAACTGAACCCAAACTTTAACAAAAGAGAGAGTCTCAAAAAGTAGACTTGGGAATAATACATTAGGGCATTGTTTCTAACCTGGCATGTGTTTCTAGAAACACTTCTGACATTTCTTCACATCTGGAGATCTTGACAACTCCATAGATGCTTAAAAAGATCTTGTTATAAACCCACGATATTTTATCATGTTCAAATACAGCAGAGCTTAAGAATCACTGTGCAAAAAAAAAAAGTCTATTCCTCCCTTTTCCCTAATCCTCTTGTACTTGTATTTCCTGTCTTACAGTTGTTAAGACTAGAATAAGTTATTCCACTTGAAACCCTTCCACTACCATTAACAGACACTACTCTGTGTTTCAAGTAAAGTATGTTGCTCAGTTATACAAGGTATAAAAGCAAAGGAAAAAAAAACCAGCCTGCACACAATCAGAGCTTTAAAGTATCATTATAATTTGAAGAGTAATGAAGTGAAAGGAATCAGGACTCACTGACCTCTACATCCAACCCATTCAGTCTTAAAGTAACAGAGGATGACAAAATACAGACAACCTATGTGCCAAAAATGATTTTTGATCTAGTATGCTTCCAGCCATATCACGCGAATAGGACTCTTTACAGCTCTGCTGTTCCACAGCCTAGAAGGGAATATAGCTGATTTGCAACTATGTTTCCTCTGCAGAGCTAATTAATAACCAATTTAAGATTAATTTGGCTCAGACGATCAAGATGTTACTGAAGTCAAACATTTTTTTTTCTTTTTTTTTGAAACCGTGAGATTGAGATTAAGTTAACAGTTAGAACCACAGTTAATTCTATGAAAAAAGGACTCCAAGAGCATTTTGTTTAACAATTACATGCCCAATAGACTCAGCACCATATCCAAAGTCAAGCTGGGCGCTCTCCATCTCACATATGGACAGAAGAAATAAACAACTATCAGACCAAATTCACATCCCTGGAAACTATGTCTACAGTTTATGTCTTTCAGTACCTTCCTCCTGGGCTTATAACTCATCAGCAGAGTTGTTTACCAAGTTACAGTCAATGGATTTGTATTAGGAGAATACAAAAAGGAAAGAGAATCCAGGCTGATCCCATCCCTGGGCTGGTTTGTTTACCGTTACTTAAACCAAAATCAGAAGTGTTTTAGCTTGCAGATCCATTTTTGGAGAGTTAATTGAACTTCTGATGAAATTATGTAAACTTACTTGACACCATGAAAACTAATACGTACCTTCTGGTGGTTCATCATGGAGATAGGATGGGACTTCCTGTTGATTTTTGTCCGTTTGATTCATTATTGCCTAAAAGAGAAATTCACACATGCTGTATATCTTTTCTGTCAAAGTGTAAATGTAACCTTTAAATCTCAAACTCGTGTAGTTTAAAGTTCCATAAGGAAGGAACTTATTTTATTACTAGGTAAGCCAGCAGCTACTACCCAATTACTGCCTTTTTATTATCAGACTGTGCTTTCACATTTTTCAAACTGATTCAATACTTGAAAGAGAAACTTTCATGAGGTCAGCAGGCTTGGTGCAAACTGCCGCCCCTCCCTCACCAAGTACATCGCAAATCTATGGGATGATCAAGAAGAAAACCAGTATGACAGTCAAGGTGGTGGATGCTAGAGAAGCAACAGCAGCTTATCTACGAGACTTGATATGACCTAGAAAGCAGCAATTTGGGAAAAAAAACAGAACCAAAAAAAATCCCTTGCAATAGAATTTGAATAAACGTTATGAAAAAAAGATTGAACCAATGTAACGAAAACACTCCAGTTATCTTGTAATAGTATTGCACACACAATCTGGTGACAGCAGCAAAAACAGACTATTTCAACTATGCACAGACTTCCCAGTGGAAACATTTCAGGCAGAGAAAATTTCTTTACGCCAAGTAAAGCTGTTTCCTAGAGCAGTTCTAGAGCAGCAGTTTAGCGCAGAGGCGAAGCTCAGGAGGAAGCTCAAGTCAGCAGCTCTGCTCGCTGCACTTTCCCTTCTGTGGAGAAGAAAGTAGAGACTAGTCCAGGTTTCCCTCCTGCTTTCCTCCCCCACCAAAACATGCTTCAGTATCAGGTCCTGCCTCCGCCCCAGAGCCTCCTGCTAAACCTGCTCTCCCCCATCAGTAAGCACTGAGAATTGCCTAGGAAAAGGAGAAACAAGTGGCATTACACCACTCAGCATCCTGCTCTCTCCCTGCCTGGCCAGTGACCCACTAGTTCCCTTCTCCCTGCACATATACAGAAGCCTTTACAATCATCAGATTTCTTCCAGGAGTCACTGACCACCACAAGAAGAATTCCAGTCTCTTTTGCCTATTCCCAAATCTCTCTGTACCTCCTTGCCATTTGGGCGAGAAAGCAAGGGCTGGAATCTGAAGAAGGGATGAGGAGGCAGAAGCAGAACTCAAAGGTGGGAAGATTCACCTAGAAAATAACAGCTAAAACCCTAGTAATACAGTTATGAAAACAAAATATCACAGTAAGAACTAGCTCCCACATACAGAATGACAGATCTCTGTGTCAGAACAGAGCCTGAACTGAATATTAAAAACTCCTCACAGTCAGCACTGAGGATATCAGTTCATGACTCAGAACACATACATACCTTTAAAAAAAAAAAAAGCTGAACAGGAAGGCAAGCAAAAAAAAAAAATACACCACCAACGCGGCTGGTTTGATGGAAGTGACAAACAAGTTCCTTTCAGAAGTCAGAAATTAAACCTGGAAGCCAAGAAACAGGAAAATGAATTATAGTACCTCAATAGGGAAAAATCAAAGACATGAAGGCTAAGAGCTAATCAGGGCAGGGGAGAAGAGGGAGTTATGTAATTCCTTGTTCTTTTACTTAATCACAAGGAAAAAAAAAAAAAAAAAGAACTTGGCAAGTCATAGAGCAAAAGCAAAAGAGGAGGACAAAAAAACTAAGAAAGGACTGAATTCAGGTACTAATTTTCTTTGCACCAGTCTTCATTATTAATTACGTGAAGTGGAAGAAATACACAGATGTCATCTTCACTGGGAGAAGACACATGTATGCTGTTGTGGGTTTTTTCCTAACTCAAAAAACCACCAAGCACTACGAGAATCAGAAGTATTTCTTCCCATACTAAGGCTGATGCTGAAAACAACTGACAAAGACCTAACATTACTTTATCCAAACGTCCGCATAAGACTAAAGCAACTGTACTGCTAATTAAGAGGTGGTCATTTTGCTA